TCTCCCAGGCATGCATTCGCTTCATTATTAACATTCGAAAACGGTCTTTTTCTGTTTTTTTCTAAGTCAGATTCAGACGAGGGGCTTCGAGTGTATTTCTATTCGACCAGTCGCTTGGTTTTTCTAAGCCATATTAGATAGAGGGGAGAGGGGTTTTCTGTGGAAATTAACAGCTCATTTACAGATGCCAATCGCAAAAACTGAAATGCTGCAGGCACTAATACTCGTTCCAGACTATTATGCAAGTTTTTTCAAGTTAAGTTGGGAAAATAGACAGCCAAAGAAAGTTAGTGTATGGGTATGAATGTTGGGTACTTTTTGTTTATTGCCTTGACCCGGGTGCCACACCACACCACATCACAAAGGAGCCTGGATATTTTTGTTTGATGGGGAAATTGGAAGCGGCAGCTTAAATAAATAATAATAATGTGCAAACAATGGCAAATAAGGCCATTATGCGGAGACTTAAGCTGATTTGACGTGAAGTCAGAGGCTGGAAATTGCAAAAGTGACGGCTGCAACGGCTACAGCGCCGCTGTAAAAGCGGCTTAAAGAGCGCGGCTAATGACGCGTGCCAACACAGCAGGGGAAACAGGCTATGGGCTACAGAGGAGGGGACTTGGGGCGTGGCATATCGCACATACAGCTAATCAAATGGAAGCTGGCGAAGAGGTGCAGTAGCCAAACGGAGGCAGCGAAGTGAAACAAGTTCGCGAAAGAGCAGCAGAAGCAGAAGGAGGAATTGACGACTGGTGGCACAATGGCCTCACCTCACAGATGTGCCACCGTCCCAACACCGCTGGAACACCGCTTTTAGGAAGCGCGGGGGCCTCGCCTCGCCTCCCATTGTTGCCCCGTAGACAAACAAAGGCACACAAAAAAAAAACCTTTTGCGAGGCACAAAACAGAGGCAGACAGTAGCTCCAGCTCTCAATGTGGCAGCAGCAGCAGCAGTGGCAGCGCAAAAAAAGAAGCATGCTGCATAAATTGCGAAGATTGCGTAACCCCTCGAGGCTTCGAGTTGGGAAGTTGTGTAAGGCCCGTGGGGTTTTTTGTTTGCGTTTTCCCCAATGGATGAGGCAGCGGAGGTGCATGCGGAGGTACAGGTCCCCGTTGCATTGGGATTCACATTGAAATTGAAAATGAAATTGAACTCGGGACAACGATAACCGGTCTTGAGACATACCCAGGCTAATCACACTCTTTTGTTGCAGGCCCCAAGGAGTTCTCCTACCGCGGCAAAAACATGTTCCTAACCACCCACGTGCCCGCTTTGGCCAACAAGAAGGTCGACTGGCTGGATGGCCGTAACCTGTGCCGCGAATACTGCATGGACCTGGTGGCTTTAGAGACCCAAGAGAAAAACAATCTGATCTTCCGTGTGATCCAGCAGAACGATGTCCCATACATCTGGACAGCAGGCCGCATTTGTGACTTTGCTGGCTGCGAGAACCGTCCCGATCTGGAGCCCAAGAGCGTGTATGGATGGTTCTGGTCCGCAACTCGCGAGAAGATCCAGGCCACCAACCGCATTCCACAGGGATGGGGCTACAATCCCTGGTCGCAGACCGGCCACAAGAAGCGTCCACAGCCCGACAATGCCGAGTACGACATCAACCAGACCAAGGAGCAGTGTCTGTCCGTGCTGAACAACGTGTACAACGATGGCATTGCATGGCACGATGTTGCCTGCTACCACGAGAAGCCCGTCATCTGTGAGGACAACGAGGAGCTGCTGCGCTATGTGGCTGCCACAAATCCTGGCATTCGTCTATAAGAAGGTCGTGTTGTTTGCCTAATTTTAAAGCTACTTATTATAATATTCCTTAAACGAGTTTTTGTATAATTTTTGTTTGTATGTGTACGACGAAAACGGAAGAAAGCAAGACAAATAGACTTTAGAATTTATAATTTCCGATCTTACCACCTACATGCATACTTCTCTCACCCCCCCAGCACTCACTCGTATTCCCTTTCCACCCTGCTATATTATATTTCACTAACTCTCGTTCCGAAACTGCCAATTTTACACGTAGAACACCATTCCGTGATTAACAATTGAGTCGTTTTCCGACCACTCAGCACACACAAAAGAAGAGACGAAATATTTATACTATACTGGAACTTTGCTCGGACTTTTCATCTATGCAACAAATTGAAAATCTCTTTAGTATTCTTCTTTGAGACACTCATAATTCCTCCTCCACCCACAAAGAGATTGAATAAAATTTTGTAAAGATCCCATAAAACAAATTTAAATGAATACTTTGCCTTTTATTTTCGATGTCTTCGGTGGTGCCGAGGGGATCTGGAGCGAGAACTGAGTTCATGGTGGGATCTAGTCGATAATCTAGGACTAGGACTACTATCACGATTAGATTTGGAGGAGTGGCAGTCATCATTTGATCTGCGATCTCCTCTTGAAGAGTAATCGCGATTAGATCTGGTTGAACTCCAATCTGATCTACGATCACTGCCTTTTCTTGATCTGGAATGATGCTCAGTGTGGCGGGGACTTTTGAGATCGTGCTCTTCTCTCCTTGACTTTTGAATATGATTGCCCAAAGCCTTAAAGTTCTCCAGTTCCAGTTCCGGACTCTCCGACCAGCGCCAGTTCCTGCCGCGATCATCGTCACCGTCATTCCAGCTGCTCCAGTGGAATTTATTATCAATAATTATAAAATGGAAGCACTGTGGATAACCTTACCTTGGTGTCTTGGACAGGGGAGACTTTCCTGAATTGCGGGCACTTCTTGGTGTAGTCGTGTGCTCCAAGTCCTTGTTGAACAAATTGTTCGGATTGCGAAACAAGTGCAGATAGCCGCAGCTGTTACCTTTGGGACATTTGCGTGTTAAGGACAAACCTTTAAGAATCAATAGATTTGAATAAAAAATGGTATAATAAATAAGATGCATGTGTGTTTTAAAATGGTTTTGGTTTGTTTTGTCAAAGGATACGGCTCTTGGCATGCAGTTCACGTACCGCAGACCGCGCCACGCCAGGTGTTAAGATTGGAAAACTCTACGTTAAGGCGCCTGGAGGCGTAGTAGCGACCTTGCAGATTGATAAAAGCACGTAGGGCACACCTGAAGAGGAAGGGTAATATTAATGAAGAATTTATGTTATGGTTGCAAGGGCAAGACAAACTTCTCATTTGCATATTCCACAAAAACATGACCACTCAGATGTTCCAGCGTATTCCTCAAAGCACGAAAATTGACTATTTTGCCGAATTTCTCCAGCTCTGTGACCGCATCGCTGAAGAACTCATCGTAGTCGCTGCGCAGATCGTGCTCCGTCTGCTCCAACCCTTCATCACCGCTGGCATATTCCTTGTGCACCTTCTTGTGCTGCAGCAGCGAGTGGTTGAAGAAGTGGCGGATCAAGAGGATCCTTCCCAACATGGGACGCCTGTGGTTGAAGGTGCAGCTGTCTCCGTAGCGGCAGGAGTTTGTGCGAGTGAAGAACTCGCAGGGTCGCTCTTCGGGGTGTGTTTCCACCATACGCAGCAGATGATTCGGCGGCTTTTCCTGCTTTGCGTTGTTTAGGTACTCGTCCATGCTCTTCATCATTGCTTCAAATTCGCAGGCAGCCTTTTCGGCAAACTTTTGCCGCTCAATACGCCGTTTTTTCTGCTCCTCTTCTCGTTTAGCCAACGCCGTTGCCTCCTCATCCCTCAAACGTTCCATTTCTGCCTCCTCCTGGCGCCGTTTGGAGGCATCCAAACGAAATTGGCGCTGAGCGAGGGCTTCGCGTCGTAGCCATGCCTCCTCCTCTTCCTGCTGTTGGCGTTCAGCAGCCAAACGCTGGAATTCCTCCAGCTCCGACTGTTTTTGGAGCCATTTCTGGTAGACGGGGTCTTCCAGTCTTTTGGCTTCTGCTTCTTGCTCGTGTCTGTCTCGTTCTTTGGCATGCTTTTGTCGTCTTCGTTGCCTTTGTTTCTTCTTAATCAGCTGGCGTCGAGCTCTGAAATGCATTGGAGAATGGTTATAATGCAAAATTATGTATATTAATGAATAAAATTTACCTTTTACCCGGCATTTTTTGAGATTTTGTGAATATTTTAAACCAAAACAAAACATGCAGTGTGACCGCGGAATTCTCGAAAAAATATACCGACGTCCCTCAAATATATACCTTCTAATTTTAAAAATATTCCGTAAATCTAAAATGATTTTCTTCGATTTTGATCTTCTGTTTAATATTATCAGCAAGTTAGGACTCTCAGCTTTAAAACTGTAATTTTACTCAAATCCTCATTCCATTCTGCACAAGATTGGTTAGGTATCATGATTTTTCTTTGGTGGATTGCTTATAAAATAAGATTCAAGCTTAAAAGGTCAAAGAGCCTGATGATTATACAAGTAGCTCGGTATTTTCAGACGTAAACACGCAACACTCACTGTCAAGCCGACCAGCTTCTGTCAGATGACAACTTGACAGTTTCATGCTGTCGAGTTATTGATCGGCTTTTCTAGCTCTGTTCCACAGCACCAGGTGTCGTCGTCCCAAGTTTGCTTTATAGCAATTATTACTGGTATACAGTCAGAATTTCAAGGTATGTACCAAGTTTGGTATGCAGTTTTCTAGCAGTTCCCGCTATACATTCAGAGATTTATGATTCAAAAAGCTTATTGTGCACTTTTATAGCAGCTTTTATTATTTTATACAATAAGAGGGGCAACGACCATAAGCCCATGCCCCTCATTTTCGAACTGCAATGTTGTAGCAACAAATGTTGCTACACACTTGCCGGTATTTTTACTCGTTTTAACAGTATTTAGCCATAAAATAGTTTCAACAACAGGCTTAAAAAAATTGAAAAAAAGTCGGCATTGAAGCCGCTTTATTTTTATTTTATTTTTCATATGCGATACAACATGCCCCTCATATTCGAACTGCGATGTTGTAGCAACAAATGTTGGGAGCTCTTGCTGCTCGGATGTATTTACCTTGTATAGTTTTACCATGCAAGCCCCAATTCTGATTAGATTCCGTTCGTTGTTGGTTCGTTCACTTCGTCTCTCTCCCCGGTGTCTCTCCGGTGTCTCTCTCCGTTGGCTCTCTCGCTCTCTCTCCGGCTAAGCTGGTCGTGAGATTTCGCTCGGATCCGGCGGATCGGTGTCGTATCGTGTCCAAAAAAGGGGCAAAGCAAAACAACACAAATTGAAAAACTAAGTCAAAACAATTGAAGTGAAGCTCTCGCGGCACAATTTTTGTATTAAATAAATGAGATAATTCATCCAGCCGCAAACACTACGAGTGGAACTAAAATATTATTAATAACAATCGTTAAAAGTGGAAAACGCGATGCGGCTAATTGGATTTATGCTAAATTTGGCAGCCCTAACAGGTGAGTTTTCGGCCCGCCCAGCTATAGCCTAGCCATGGCCTGACATTGCCTGGTGGTGTGTGTGGGTGGTTCAGTGACAGTGGCTTTGGTAGTGTGAGTATGAAGAGCTCTCTCTACCCAGTTAGGTTCTCTGTTTTATTCTCTGTCTCATGGACACAATTTATTATGTTCTTTCCGTTGCCTTTGACAAGTTACGAGTTTTTGTTTTATTCATAATGTGCTTGGTTTTTTTACCCGGTATTGGATAAGAGCTTTTGGGAATATTGGAATCGTGTGGAACAAAGAATAAATGTATTTATATAAAAGTGCTTAAATCTCTACAACCTCACATAGGTAAAAAAAATGCATTGTGTTACTACTTAGTTGAGTGACAACAGAAAGATATAAAGATACATATGACCATGTTGTCCTCCTGTCAATATTATCAAGTTCATCAATAATACATTTAAGGGTATCTTTTCGCCGTACTATCTCTTTATTCTTTGTTATTTTTGTGTCAGTTTTCCTTTAATTTTTTCTCATTTTCCACCAGTTACGTTTTTATCATTATTTAGTTTTCTAGCTCAAGTGTCTCGTGGCTAATAGAAAATCGATGGCACATTGTTGCAAATATGAAACCTCTACGTTGTATCTTAAATATATGAAAGTATCTGTTGCACTTCAACTCGGGCTCTGCTGTGGCTTTCTCTCCTTTTGTCAGCATTATTTGCCCTTTTGTCTTTGGATCAATTTCTATGGCATCAAAAGTTCGCGGGGCCGTGTTTTTGGGGTGTGGTTCTTCAATTTTCAGCTCCTTTTGAATGGTATTTCCATAGCCAGGCACATGCCTCTGATTTTCCATCGGGCCGGCGTTTCCATTTTCCCATTTCCTGCTGACACTGCCTCGACACTTCAATCTGCATGCTCCACATTTATGTGGCACTGCATTGTTGGGCTCTTTTTGCCTTATGGGTCGGGCCCGCCTCCCTCCGCTCTGACTCTCTCTTTCCTTTTGATTTTATCTCCATCTCTTGCCCAGGGCATTTTCTCTCTGGGTCTGTTCTTTCTCTTACCCAGAATTGTTTCTACAAATATTTAATTTAAATCCTGTGTCATCTCTTGCCAGAGGGTATCATCAATTTGTGTCACACTGTAGTGGAATTAAGAGGCGAGAACGGGAGCTACATTTGGATGGAGATTTCAGTGCTCTCCGCGTAGGTCATTTAGCTACAGATATATTGTTGAATTAACAAGTTTATAAGTATATCCGAGAAGTGTATACGCCAGTGAGAGTAGACATCATTGTGCAAAATTGATGACCCTTTTGCAGAGAGTGCATTGCATCTACCCCATCCGAAAACTGTATTCCCTTTGTGGTCAGATTGTCCCTACTTATGTATACGCTGTATACGTATCTGCTCTTAGCAGTGGTGTCCTTTTTCCCCCAGACTTCGTTGCTGTTATTCCTGTTGCTGTGTCCCACTTGCGGTTTTGTTTAATTACGCATATTACTCCGTCTTTCCCAGCTCCATGACAACCCGTTCTGACTCTACCGCAATGCCTTTGCTCCCACACGGAGCTGCCACTGCTGCCATTTCTGCTGCTGCTCCTGCTGCTGTTGCTGTGGTCACTTACTGACGGAGACGAGTGTCTTTGGTTGGGATCTCTTGAGGCTTGTCAGCAGCAGAGTAGAGAGCATTTCCGGGGTCGGGTCGTCCCATCAACCGCCCTGCGGTTGTCAAGCATTTCCGCCAGGGATTGTCGAGTGACCAACTGCCTCGGATTGACCAGAAGAGTGACAAAGCCAAGCTAAGCCACATCGGGGCTGGTTAATTACTTTCCTCAGTTGCCGGGATAAGTGCTCCTTTCTCGCCCGATCAAGTTGCACTCGGAACAGGCAGGCCAGTCGGGTGGAATTCCGCTTGAGTAGTCCTTCTGCCTTTCCCTCTCCTGTATTTATCATATTTATCCAGTAAATTCCACAAATTAGAATCAATATGAAGCCTGCACGGGGGGCACAGTCATTAATTATACAAGCGGCTGCTGTCGCTAATGAGGTAAAGTGTCGACAGCAACGCCTCTTCTGAAAAAGTGCCCCATTACTTTTCGCCGGCACTGTGCCTGGCCTGTGCTCGTATGTATGTATGTGTGTGCTTTTAATTGAGGGAAAGGTCAGCGTCGCATCGATTTTAATGGCAAGCGAACTGAAAACAAACACCGCCACGAGGCCCGACCCTAGAGCGGCCAGAAGAAAAGCGGCAGGAAAATGTGTAAATATCCAAACTCGGTTCTGTTTATTTAAGCTTCTTCATATAATATTCTATCCGCTGTGATATCGCTATATTGCAGTCGGTACCAATAAAATGGTGTGTTATTTGTGAGTATTTTTATGATGGCAGAGACTGCGATTACAAGACAAACATGATTGTATTAGTTAAAAGATTTTGTACATAAAATGATGCTTGGGCGAAGTATTTAGAAGAGGTAATTTATTCAGTCATTTATTTAGCTGTAGTTTCGCAAACAAACAGAGAAGCAATATTGCTAAAAGGGTATCGAAATACTTAAATAAATAACTACTTTCCATCATCGATTTTGAGCAATATATAAACGGGTTGCTTACAACGTAGTTTATGTATTTAATCCTGAAGAGGTTGTCGCAAATATTTTAACAACAAATAAGTGTCTTACACAAATGTCTATTACTCGCAAATTACTTCTTCGAATGAAAAAAGCGATGTCACATTTGCAGAAATCTCTCTGATACTTCCTCCCTCTCTCTATTATAAACTCTCCCGCCAAAAATATGTACCAACAAATCACTCTGCGTGTAATGTCCAAGTTTCAGAGAATAGGAAGAGATAAAGAGTGGAAGGGAGAGAGAGAGAGCGGTTGCCACAGCGTTAGTTGGAGGCGTGTCACCAGCCCACGCATAGTGCGGCGCTGCCGTTTCAATTTAGTTTGCCACTTAACCCCACACAGTGGCTTTCGCAGCGGTGGGGCACCGGACCCTCCACCTTTGGCACCGCGGGGCGCTTCACTGCATTGCATGATAAATTGCCACTTGACTTTGCATATTTGTGCTGTCATCGGGGCCTCGGAGATGCCGGGGATGTCGGGGGCTGGCGGAGTGGCGACACACAGCCTCTCCATCATAGCCAGCCACAAAATGGTTTCAACTCGACTGCCCTCTCCTCGGTTATTGTCGTCTATTGAATTTGCAAAACTTTTGTCCGAACTTTGACTTGTGCCTGGGGCAAGCGTGTGTCGGTGCATGTTTTCCGCAGATACAAACCCATCAACCTTGACATCTTTTAAGTTTTTCCGGGTTTCCGGCTCTCTAGCAGCAGCTGGATATCCAAAATACAAAAGAGAGGACGAAATTGTAGGGTGCTCGGGTGCTTCAATTTTAGATGCCCTTGGGGGAATATCTTTCTTTTGAATGCTTTATGCATCATATATTCAAGAGATTTTAATTACAATTAAAGAAGATGAAGATCTTCGTTAGGTTTTAGATTTTAGATTTTTAGATTAAAAGCAGACAGACTTGGCGCATCTCGGATCATAATCAAGATTACCTTGCCCTTACAGATCTCAAAATACTTGCAAAGATCTACTAAAAATCGTAGTGGCACAGTGCTAGGATATCTAAAAAAACTATCCATTATTCTGTGTCTCTGCGTATGTGGCTTTTCATATAGGTGACACATACAAATGTGTCCTGTCATTCTTGGTAGCTTTTCCTACTGTCTTCCTTCACCCCTATCCCATACAGCGACAGTCATGTTTCCCATTTTTCTTTTCGCTTTCATTTAGGATGCATGATTTTTGCTTTCCATTCTCGTTGGTTTCTTTTATTTTTTTTATACATTTTCCGTTCGTTTTTGTTATTATTTTTTAAATCCGACAAGCACTCGCCGTTGAGTGGCTGTCAGGTGTCGGGCCGTGCATCTGAGTGTGGAAGTGACACCACGAGGTGTCGCCCCATTTCCCCTCACACTGCACAGCACATCCTCTTATCTATGGGCACACGCAGAATGAGCGTTTCAGCTGTGAGATACTTTCTGAATACTTAATAGGTGTACAGATAGCCCCAGAGGGCCAGAGGCCAATCTTAATATTTAAGCATCTTATGAGCTGGGAGCTCTTGACATTTCGACTGGAATCAAAAGAGCTGTGAACTTTTCATTGAAATAAAATGAATAAATATTCTACTGGAATATTGCTCCTGGTTGCTCCTTCGTTTATAGGTAACAGTTTTCAAAGCCTGCTCCAGATTTTCTGGACCCAGCTGTCCTTCCACTTAAGGTCATAAAACATACGAGTATATCCGCACTTAAAGTTTAGAGTTCATAATTGGATCCACTTAGACCCTTGTTTGCACTGAAACACCTAGATAAAGTTATAGCCTGTGGCATAATAAAACTAAAACTCGGTGTATCGTTCCCCGCAAGAGCAACCAGAGCACTATATTAACAGTTAGAGTTCCCGTCACCGTCACTGTCATAGTCCCATTCATTATCCAGTCCCCCCTGGTGGAATGTGGAGGCTTGACAAATTCGAGTGCAACACAGTCCGGTCTGGCTGGCACTCTGACATTTCAACAAATTGCGACAACAATTACAACGCACCGAATGTCAAAAGTCGACATCCATTTGATGTGGCATGTCCAGAAATCATTGCACTTGTCAGGGCGAACGAGAGAGAGAGAGAGACAGAAAGAACTCTAAAAATGTATGTCGTGGGGGGAAAAGCGAAAAGAAAATGCAGATGGAGCGTAGGAAAAAAAAGAAGGGAAAATGCCATGGCATTGTGGAGTATTCAATTTAGATTGTTTGATTGTGTGATTTGGTGTCGCTGGGGTGTCCGTGCGCTGCTTTGTTTATGATTTAATCAATTGCTCATTAATTAAATGCCTTTTCAGCTTATTTCTCGGTTCTTTCGCAACGGAGAAACAGAGGGGCGGTGATGGTTCAATTTGTGTGGCTCACTCACACACATGGTGCATTTATCATCAATTA